CTGGGGGGGGCATCTGCTGGGAAGCGCCCAGCCCCACCCCTTGCGCAAGCCACTGCTACCCTGGCCGGTTGGGTGGGACCCGCCTGGGCCTGAGGGGCAACTCAGGAGGGCTCTGCGCCCAGAGGTGGGTGGGCCACAAATTTCCACTGAAACACCTCCTAGGTCCCTTATGCTCAGAACCAGGATGCCCTGGCGTCCTCTAGACACTAGGCCATCCCAGGTCCTGCTAGGCTTGGGGGACCACAGAAATGCTCCTGAAGTATCCCCTCCCCTTTCCCCCCAATAGCTGCTGGCCCAGTGCCTCTGGCCTGCTGCCCCTCACCAGCTCCCGGCCCGGTTGGCACCTACCCACCAGGATGCTGGCAGTCCTGGCCTCCTCTCCCTCCTACCCCCTGCTCCCAGTGCCCCATGCCAACTGTGGGCCTGGGATGGGGGAGGGTCACCCCTGTGCCTTGGTGCCAGCCAGCCAGGCAGGCCCAGGCCCCAGGCCCTATAATAAGACCTAAGACCCCACCTCAGGAGGCAGCAGATTGGTCAGGGCCTACACCAGACAGACAGCGGGGAGGCACGGACAGCCCTGGGAGCAGTTACCAGACTCCACACCCCAGGGTGGGGGCCAGTGTCTCTCCCTGCTACCAGGCGCCAACCTCCCGGCATTCCCTCTGCCCAGCATCTGCTTGGGCACCAAAGTCCCCACAACTCCCTAGCCCTAGTCTAATGTCTGCAGCCTGCAAGGGTGTGGGGTGGGGCTGTTCCCTGCCCTTTGATCCCCATAAAGGGAGGGAACCAGCCCGGAGGGCAGGGGGCAGGGAGGGAGTTCATGGGGCCCCTCATTCCACCCTTGCCAGGGGCAGCAGGGCAGGGTGTGGGCATCTCTTGGGTGAGGCCCTAGGTGAGAATGGGTAGCACGTCTCAGCCTTGGGTACATGGTGTCATGTGGGACTGGGATGGCGAGAATAAAGTAGGGGGATGCAGAGGGCAGCTGTGCTGCAACCCATCCAAACTGGCTTTTTACCCTCATCCAAAAACACTTTGCCAAAATGAGAGCTCAAGGACTACAACTCCCAGTATGCATCACAATTGCTTTGTGTAACTTGGGAGTTGTAGTTCCCTTGAGAAGCCCTGGGTTCTCTTCCCAGGAGCCTGGCTGATGGGGTGGGGAGGGCAGAGGACTTGGGTACAACACAGTCCAAAGGGACTGTGTTAAGGAAGAGCTCGCGGTTCATGGTGGGGGAGAGGACCCTTGCTCCCAGGCAAAGGAGGAGGAAAGGAGGAAGGAAGGAGGAGAGGATGTCTGTTGAAAGGGGCATATGGGTGGGGAGGAGTTGGGGGGGCGGTGGAAACAGGAAGGAAACTGAAGCCAGAGACATGAGGTCGAAAGCAAGGGCTTGGGGGAGCCCCACTCGGAGGCCTGACGGGGACTGGGAAGGCATTTCCCCTGCCATTCTGGTGACTTGGGGAGGCCAAAGAGGAATGGATGATGTCAAGAGGTAGCAAGTGTATTCGTGGGGCTCACAGCTCTATGTGCTTTCTATTATCCCTATTTTCCACAGGGGACCCTCAACTCCTGGATCTGGGCCAGACACTGGTGGCTAGGAAGCTGAGGGCTGACCAGGCTCTGGGAAAAGCTAGGAGGCAGAGGGAGCACTTGGGAAGGCACAGCCAGGCCTGATGGCAAGTACAGTGGAGGTCTGTGAGGAGTCAGGGCCAGGTGTGCGGTCAAGGACAGGCGGGGCAGAGGCCATGCCAGCTGGGGGGTCAGGGAAGAGAAGGCTAAGATGCCAAGGGGGTCGGCCTCCTACCAATGCCAGGCTGTGGGACGGAACCTAGTGGGCAGCCCTCTTTGGCTTCCCTGAGGAATTTGCTAAAGGTGGCTTTCCCTCAGTCAGGCAGCCTGGGAACATTAAAGATGGCATCTCAGGGGGCCAGGCAGCAGCTGGGTGTCTTTCCTACTAGAGGTGGAGGTCAGAAGTGGGTGAAGGACCTGCTTTGAGGACACTTTTTCTGGGCTTTCTAAGGCTCTAGGACAGATGCTGACAGGCCCCAGCCAAGACCTGGTCCTGGCTGGGGGGGGGGGGGCTCTCTTTCTTGCTCCCCTCAAGCCTCAAGAGGAGATGACAGTCAGTAGCTCCCTCCCCTTCCCCCAGTCCCCCAGGCCCGCCTTGGCGCCTGGCCGCTTGTGTGTTGGCAGGACTGGGGTGGGGGGGTGCCGAGGCAACTTCAAACTGTCCGGGCAAAACGTCAAGTTTACTCACGAGTTTACTCAGCAGAAGGAGGGGGAAGAGGCCAGAGCGGGCACACCCCATGCCAGGGTCCTATCCCTCTGCCTGTCCCCACCTTCCTCCCCCACCCTCCTCTTCAGCCTTAGGCCAAGGCAGGCATAGGCCCCAAAGCCTGGTGGCAGGGCAGCCTTAACTGTCGGGAAGGTCAAGGAGCCAAGCAGGCTGGGGGCAGGAAGCCCTGAAGCAGGCCCAGAGGCTTCTATCAGAGGGCAGTGCCCTCCCTGGAGCCCATTCACTCCTCATCTTGGGACCCTGGCCCTGGGCCAGAAGAACTGGGTCTCTGAGCCATCAAGAAAGGGGCAGTACCAAGCCAGCCTCCTCCATCTGAGCAGTCCCCTGGGCAGTCCCTTCTGACCCCACATGCCCAGTCCAAAGCTGTGTCTCAGGCTCCAGCGTGATGCTATCCAGGCAGCCATAGGACCCGAGGCTGGCGCTCTGGGCCTTGGCTTGGAATGGGGGGCCAGCACCCTATCTGACCTACTTCCCTTTCCTCCCCACCTGCTTTCATTCTCTGCTTCTCTCCCCAGCCTTCAGGGTCCCCACCCCAGAGGCGCTCCGCCCCCCCATGCCCGCTGGGTCCCCTCCCCCACCCTTCCCCAGGGTGCCAAGTGCAAGCACACAAAGGGCCCGATGGTGCATTGTTAGCCCAGCCCCCGCTGCCCGCCGCGCCCTCCTGGGGCGGGCACTGAGCCAAGGAGGAGCTGGGGGCCCCGGGTACCAGGGGGCACCATGGGAAGGGGTAAGAGGGCAGCTCCGGTCTCCCAGACGCTGGAGTCCACACTGGGCAGGCTTAGCAGTGACTAAAGCAGGCCTGCCTTCCTTCTCCACACCTGGGCACTGCCTTCTTTCTCCCAAGAGCCCCTTTCTGATGGTATTAACCCCTTCCTGACCCCTGTGCCGAGGCAGAGGGGGTGTGGTACCCAAGGGAGGGCAGCGTCTGGGGTGCCGGCAGGCAGCCTCGTGCCCACAGCAACCGTGTAACAGAGGCACGCTGGGGGAGCCAGGGTCCCGGGGGCCAGGGACAGCAGGCACTGACAGAGATTTCTCCTGGTTTCATCAGCTGCTCCAGGGGGAGCCCCCTGCCCTTCTCCCCAGTTACCACTAAGGAGGAACACTAACTACCACCCAAAGCTGGTCGCGAACATGCCCTTCTGCAGCCTGGCACAACACTCCTTATGCTCAGTATCTCCTCCCAGCCTGATGCCCACTCCATGCCAGCTCTACCAGTAGTGCCAGGAGGGTACAGGGGTGACCAAACCAGTTGGTGTGTGCGGGGCAGCAGGAGGCAGCTCCGTAATTCTCTGGCCTTCAGCACCCCCTGTTCGCTGAACACACTCCCTCAGGGAGCACAGTCCCATCCTGCTTTAACCCCTCACTGTCCACTCGGGCTCCCTCCTCTAGAATAAGTTGGGGGAAGGGGGATAGCTGCGCTGACTCATTCCGTTCCTCAGCTGCAGCTAGGGGTCTCCAAGGCATTCGGGCCGGGGGTCAACGCAAGAACGGCCCTCCACCTGGCCCGGAAGCCAGGACAGCCCTCCGGTCTCCCCCTCTCCGCAGCACCCACTTCCGGTGTCCCAAACTAGGTCAGCAGCGATCGTTTCCTGTGGGTCAGCTAGCACCGGCGCCTCTGCCCCTCCCCGGCTCAGGACCCAGGCTCCCCGCCCCCCGCCCCCCAGGGCGCCCCGAGGTCTCACCACGTCTCAGCCGCCCTTTGATACATGGGGGTTGTGCCGGGCGGGGGGCAGGTGACCCGCCCTCTCTCCAAACACTAGCAGGGCCGGGGCGCCTGGGCAGGCACGTGTCCGGGCACAACCCGCTGCCCACGCCGCCCCCCCACTCCGCCCCCCCCCGCTCTGGCCGGGACACGTCGCTCTCACTTGAAGTGGGGTGGGAGGAGGGGAGCGAAAGATGGGACTTGAATACAGAGCCCCCCGCCCCTCTGAATGGAAGCCCTCTGCCGACACCAAACACTAGGTTCTACAACGCGCCGGCGACCCTCACTCTGGGTAGGGCAGGTGCGCTGGCGCCGCGACGGGCCGTAGGCAGAAGTCCTCCCGTCACCCTCCGGCGCTCTGGGTCTGAGGGCAGAGCTGCCTCAGAAAGGCGGCGGGCCGCGGGGCGGAACGGGGCAGAGGGGTCGTGCGCGCCGCGCCGCGCCGCTCCGAGGCTGTCGCCAGCCCCACCACCGCTGGAGAGAGTGCGGCTCTGGGAGCGCAAGAAACCGAATAGTCCAGCCGGTAACTTTCCCCCAAGCCGCCGCTCCTCCCGCCCCCCCGCAACTGGCCAGGGTCCAACCCACCGCGCCAGGGGGCGCCAGGGGGGCGAGCTGTCCTAGTTAGTCCCTCGGCGTTTCCAGTCCCCAAACTCGGTCTGGGCTGGGGTCCCCCTGAAGTCCCGAAGGAGCCTGGGAAAACGCTCAGCGCCGCCTCACCCCTCTCCATCCTGGGGCCGACAGTGTCTGATCTCGGGAGAAGTGCAAAGAAAGTTTCTGGGGACCCTCCGCCCAGGGTTGGGGGGCGGCCGTAGTGCCTTTCGTACCTTTCCTCTCAGTTTAAAACCAATTCCAAAGACCCGGGAAGGCACCAGGAAGAGGACTGATGGGAATCTGGTCTGCATGCGTGTGTGGGGGGGTCCCACTTACAGGACAGACGAAGGACACTGCAGTAGTCTTGAGTCTAGTGGACCCCGAGCCGGGAGACAGAAGTGGGGTACACTCACCTCACCGCCGTCGGGTCCGCGGGCCGGAGCTGCTGCGGCACAGAGGTGGGGAGAAGCGCGTCTCCCCAGGCCGGGGGCTCGGGGCCCTGCTCCGGTCCTGGTCAGAAGGCCGCGGTCAGTCGCTCGCCGCTCGCTGCTGGGGGCTCCTCCTCCGCCGCCCTCTGCCTTCTCCGCCGCCCGTCCCCCCTCGGCCGCCGAAAGCCGTACATTCACCTGGC